TTTTGGTAGTGATGATGAATCGTGCAAAGAACGTCCAAGCTTAGCCTGTTAGGTTCATAGTCTTCTAGCTTAATGGTTAAAATAATTTTTTTGCAGAAAGATAAGTTATAAAAAAAATGGGTTTTAGAAGGGTAAAAAACAATAAAAAAGGGGGTTTTGTCTTTCATGAGAAGATTTGATTATCTTTTAAAAATGAAAAAGATCTATAGTTTACTACTCATACTTTTGGTATTATTGAGTTTGCAAGGTAGTTCTTGTTTACAAAAATACACATATGACAACTTCATGAAAATAAAGAGAATAAAAGTCGAAGAATTAGGAACTTCAAAGTTTGAAAAACCATGGTTAGAATCGGTGGTTTCTGGAGATTGTCGTGTAGATTAGACTTTTTTCTTCTTCTTGTTATTCCAACCATTAAATAATTGATAAAAACAATATTGTTAGAAAAAAAAAATTGTTCCACCATGAAAGATAGATGGGACATTTGTTTCATCTTAATTGGGATATTTCTTCCTTTAATCAATAAATTAATATCTTAAAACTACAGGCCATATATTTATTTGTTAATACAATTTATTTTGATACATATTCATACCATTTACATCCATGCAGATTTTTTTATTGCAATTTAAATTTCATGCTGGCTTGTCTATTGTTTGAATTTTTATACTTATATATATAATAGTAATAATATTAATAATAAAAATAAACATTTTCAAAGATAAGATTTTAAAAAATTTCGAGTAATGATTCTTTAAAATCTTTAGGTGAAAATATTTTACTAAAAAATACTATCAAAGTATTGAAGTATTTAAAAAAAATTCAATACAAAAGATTTCCATTCATTTAGTTTCCTAAAATTATATTAGATAATGATAAAATAACAAATAATTACTTTTTAGTAATGAAACATGAATTAAAAATTAATTAATTAAAAAATGAAAGTTTAAACATTTAACTTTCCTTTCTATTTACCGGTAATGTAGTAAAAAAAAGTGGTTCTCTTTTATTGAAAACATATATAGAATAGTAAAATTATATAAACATCAAAAGCTAATGTAAGGACCATGATCCTTTGCCTTCCTTTTGTTTTAAAATGATATAGGTACAGGCAATTACTTTTGGTTAGAATTTTATAACAAATAAAATTTTAAAATAAATCATATAAACATCAAAAGCCAACATGGAGACCATGATGGTAAAGTTGTTTCTCTATGTGAAATTTTATAATTAATAAATTTTTATGAAGCCTGAGTTTGATTCCCAATAAGGTTTACTTTCGTGTATTTAATCTTAATCATGCCTATGCATATTATTTTTTATGTTGTTTAAGTTTGATTGCAAGTTTAATTTTATACAATCTTAATTTATTTATTGGTTGGATTCCTATATTTGTTTTAATTTAATCTTTCATACTTTAATCTATGTTTGGCACATCTTATTTTTCATACACTTTAGATTTATGGAAAACAAATAATAATAGTAATAATAATAATGATGATGATGATGATGATAAAAATCTCCAATAATGAGATTTTAAAGAAATCTGAGTAGTGATTTTTTAAAATCTCTAGATAAAATTATTATTCTTAAAAACATTGTCAAAGTAATGGAGTATTTAAGAAAATATTCAATACAAATTTTTTTATTCATTTAGTTTTCTAAAATTATATTAGATAATGATTAAATAATATATAATTACTCATTCAGTAATGAAATTAATATTGTGATTAATTAATTTTATCTTTCAAAAAATTTAGTTCATTAAAAATAATAATCAAAACTAAAAATTAGAATTAGAATAAAATTAAATGAGAAAGAAAAAACGTAAACGAAATTTCTGATGATGATATTTTAAGGAAGTATGAGTAAAGAATCTTAAGAAATCCTAGGTGAGAAAATTTTTTTAAAAATATCGCCAAAGAATTGGAATATTTAGAATAATTCTCAATATGAAAAATTCTTGTTTTATTTTTCACCTATAAAAATGAACTTTGATATAACACAAAAACATCATGAATTAATTCATTTGCATCATATTTTGCATATATCAATTATAAACAATAATAGAGATTTTCGATGATGAAACTTCAAAAAGTCCGAATAATGATTTATGAGAATTCTCTATGTGAGAAAAGTTTTCTAAAAATTATCAAAGTATTGAAATATTTTAAAAAATTTTCAATATGAAAATTTTCATTTTATTATTATTTTCTTTAATTTGAGTATTTTTTTAATAACATAAAAATATACATTTTTTTAAAAAAAATAAATTTATTTATAGATAATTATATTATTACATGACTTTTAAATATTAATAATTTTTATAAAAGTAACCAAAAATCTTCGAGAATGAGATCTAAAAAAAATTCGAGTAGTGATATTTTAAGAATTTTTAGGTGAGAAAATTTATTTAAAATGCTACCAATGTATTGGAGCATTTACAATAATATTAGATAAAATTTTTTCATTTTTCAATAGAATAAGATATGTATTTTAAAATATTATTGTGATTAAATTATAGTTATTATATTACATGCAATATAAATATTGAAGAGAAATATGAACTACCGAAAATAGAATTTTTTATAATTCAAAGTAGTGATTCTTAAAGATTTTTTAGATGAGATGATTCCTCTTAATATTACTAGAGTATTGAAATATTTTTAAAAAATTTTTGATATGTAAGGTTTTTATTTATTTTTCAAGCATAATAAAAAATTAAAAATATGTTTTTAAAGAAAATTAAGAAAATTAAACTTTGAATACCAAAATTAAGATAATTTTAGTCATAATTAAAAACTAACACGTAATTAATTAGTGACGTTTTAAACGGGTACTGTGAGGGTGCTAGTTTTTCCTCACGCGTAACAAACTCTCCCACTCAAACTGTTTTCGTAGACCAAAAAAATTATCTTTTTGATAAAATTTTAATTAATTTTAAAAATTTTATTAAAATGATAAGTTTTAATAGTTATCCAATTTCACCTAATTAAAAAAGATTAATAACGACTTATTTTTGTTTTCAAATTCATTTAGTGATCCCCTAAAACCATTATGACAAATATTAATATTAGTTATATATATTGTTATTTTATTATTTATTCTTTAATAATTTATCATTTTGAATTTGATACTAAAAATTAATATAATTATATAATATATATTAAAATTAATATATATATATTAAATACATATTAAATGGGTATTAGATTTTTTATTTTTTTAATATGTAAGTACTTTTTATATTATTAATATGTCAAGTTTATTAAGTTATAAATGATTGATAGTTTATAATTATTTATTATTTTAGTTATGTTTTTGTATATATTTATATTAGTCATATTTATTCGTATATATACGTGTTAGTCTTTTTTTGTGTATATCTATGTTATTTGTATTTATTCATGTCATATTTAAATAGATTAATTATATACATTTTAATTGTATTGTGTTGCATATAATACATATAATATACGTATCATATTTGTATTTAAAATTTAAATACATTTTATAATTCGTGTCATATTCATATTTTAATAATTTGTATCATTATACATATAAAATATGTCACAAGATACAACATAAAAATATAAATTATCAGGTCTAGCAAAGATATCCATTTGTCTTTGTATAATTGTGATCTAAACACAAGACCAAGCCAAATAAAAAAAAGAAGATTTTTCAATTTCATACTACCATGCATAAGAGAGATTAAAAAAAAAAAAACGCTTGAAAGTATTTTCTTCATATTCAACCTATAAAATCTTTCCTACAACAAATCACAAAGTATACCAAAAGTTGAAGCTTTGTTTGCTCAAAGCTAAGAGAAAATCAATGGCAAATTGGCTCAGTCTATAAGTTAATTTGCCTTATAATAATAATGGATTTTGGGTTCAAATTTTGTCATAATCAGTTTTGATATTATGATATTATGAAATGAGAAAATTTTTTTTAATGTTTGCCTCTAACTTTTTATTTGTTCTTTATTTATTAGATAAAATAAAAAATTAAGGAAAAAATTGTCAAATGTTGAATTTTGCCTCTCTATTTTAATTTAATTGAATTTGTCATTAAATTTTAATTTTTGATTGAATGTTATCACTAAACTTTTGGATGATTTTAAGACAAAATTTATCATTGAAAAATATTCCTTCAAAATATTCATTTTTTTAATAATTTACAGTAATAAATTAATTAATAAAAATATTAATAAATAAAATTTTGATAGAGAAATTTTGTTTTATAAAAAACTAAAATTTTATTTTTATTTTTTGTTTTTGTTTTGTGTTTATATTATTGCTAATGATATGTGATGGCATCTACCAACAGTGATGCTCTCTAAGAGCAAATTTGGCCATTGCACGGGCTTGCAATTTCCATTCTGACCACATCATTTTTTTTTAAATTTTTTAACTTTTAATTTTATACTTTTTATTCTTGTTAATTATTTTTTAAATTTTATACTAAAATCAAATTTTAGTGATAAAATTAAAGACAAATTAAAGTTAAGTAAAAAGTAATCAAATTAAAATATAATGATAAAATTTAATATTAAATTAAAATATAGTAGCAAATTTGACTTTAATCCCAATAAAAAATTAGAGAAAAGGGTTTGGGTAAAAAAAAGTTTTTGAATTTTATAATTTTATTTATATAATTTTTTTATTTTTATTATATTTAAATAAATTTTTAATTTTTAATTTACATCTAAATAAATTCTTAAATTTTAATTTATATCTAAATAAGTTCTTAAAATTTTAATTTATACCTAATAAACCCCTAACATAAATTATTTTTCCTTTGAAATAAAGATCTATTTCAATATAGATTTAAAATTGAGGATTTATTAAATATAATAAAAATATAAAAATTTGTTTAAAAAATAAAATAATTCAAAAACATTTTTAATATTTTAGCAAAAAATAAAAAATTACAGTTGAGAAGTGAATTTAGAAGCAACTTGCTTCTGTTAATGGTTTGACGAAGATTGTCGAAAGTGTTGATATTCGATTTCCCTAATTCTCCCATGAAACCAACATGATTATAATATATATGATAGAAAACTAAACAAAAATTATACCTTTAAGTTATTAGTTCACTTCAAAAAAGAAAAAAACAAGTTTCTGTTCAAAGGAGCTGGCTTTGCCCAATTCCAAATAGAAAGCAGAGATTTGATCCTGCCTTGGGTCAGGACTCGGGGCCAATGAGATTGGGAAGTTTTCTTTGTTTGATTAGCAGGCTTGCTTTTGCGCTTGGGTGGGATTCTGTAGAATTAAGGAGTGGAGGCCATTAGTAAGGTGGGGGATAGCAGGGTTTTTGTTTTAGCTTCCAAAGCTATTGGAGTTTTGGAATAAGCAAAAATGGCTGCTGAGTTGTCAACTGTGTATTCGTTGGATCAGATTCTGCATGATATCCGTTATGCGGTGACTAAGGTAACAACTTCTTTAGTTCTTTAATATCTTTTTTGATTATTCTTTGTTTGGTTATCTTGTTGGCGTTTTCAATCTTTAGTTGACATCCTCTAGAGCAATGGGTTTCTATTCTATGTTCATAAACATACATTTGCAACATTATTCTGTGACCATTTATTCGGTGATTCAGTTGCCTTTTACACTTCTGAAATTTCTGATCATGCCTGCGAATAATGATGTTGTTGTTGTCGTCGTCGTCGTCATATTCCAATGCATTGAATAACAATGTGGCATGTGCTAATAATTTACACAGGCCTCCTGCACAAGTGTATAAGAGTACTGCAGCAGTTAAAAGCAGGAGAGTAGGAGAGAAAAGGGAGAAAATTAGGAAACTTTACTGGAGTTATATATATATATATATATATATATATATTAGTATAGTATATGGGTAATGTATCAGAAGATCAGTCTGAACATTTTGAATTCATATTATCAGTTCAAGTCTAATGGTTTTTATTTGAGAAATTCCCTTTTTCTAAGCCAATGGCTTTAGGCCACAGTTTTTCATGAATCTTTTCAGAAAAAGTTAAGTGGCATATGGCTACTCTGGATGAGGTTGTGTACAGGTTAAGGAACCTTGAGGAGGATGAGATCTTGCGGGTTTTATTTTGGGTGGGGACTTCATTTTATGGGTGAAGGAATTGAGTTTGGCTACTATTGCTACCAATACAAATCTTTTCTCCTTTAGGTTTATGTTACTTTCTTCCTGTTTCTGCTTCTTTCCCGTGGGGGAATAATTTCATCATGTGAAGCTGGAGTATTATGTCATAGTTATAAACATCTTTTACATTATGCAAGTGCTGAGTGCTGACTAATGAGATTAATTCTCTCCAGTTTATGTTATGAGCAATATTGAGATATTAGGCCATGTTTGGTGCGTAGGATGATGGATAGGATAAGATGATAATTATCCTATACCATGTTTGGTTTGTATCTAAAGAGAGGAAAAGGATTCCAAGGAAGATTAATCATCCTCTTGGTCTAGGATGATTTAATCCCCCCAAAATGGAGAGGATTATTTTTAATCCATGGGATTGAACTTACATGTCCTATTATACCCTTAAAAATTATATCAATAATTTAAATTGTATAAACTTTGAGGAAGGATAATTTTAACTAATAAATAAAATTATCCTATTCTAATCCTTGCACACATCAAGCACAAGATAGGATGATTTTATTTAATCTAAACCTATTCATAATATCATCTTATCCTATCCTATTTATAATCTTGTGCACCAAACATGACATTAGTTCCTTATATGTGTGAAAAATCTTGTTATGTATGCTCTCAATTGCATGTTTATACGAGGTTAACTCAAAGGAGCACTAGTCACATGTGCTGAAATGGATGATAGAATGATGAACATTCAGAAAATTTCACCAACATATTATATATGTATGCTTTCCATTGTTTGTATTAGATTGAGCAGCAGATTATGTGAATCACCAGATACAATTGTCCTGCTGTGCTGACTCTATGCCAAAACTGCTTTTTATGTGCCAAATCTGTACTCAGGCAACTACATATGCTATCCAGATTTTTAGGATCTTGTTCTTTGCTATTCTTCAATATTGAATTGTGCACTGTGAAGTATTTCACGCCCAAGAGATGCCCTTCTGATTTGTAGTTTGATGTTAATGTGAGATAGAGGTTAGAATCTGCTTGTGAATAGCATTGTCTTGAAGCACCATCTTCCTTTTAGCAAAATATCATGTTGCCTCCAATCTCCTTTTTAGCCTTCTTCCTTCTAAAATTGCCAGTATGATAACGAATTTAATTCTTGAAACTCGAATCTATTAATTATGATATGATTTTCTTTACTTTGAACCTGTTACAGTTGTAGGTGTTCTTAATGTTATTGATTTGGATCTATCCAATGGCATCTTTTTCTGGTCTGGTTGGAGGTCAAACTCTCATGATGTTGACTTCAGCTATCCGGCATTATTTAGATGTTGTACAAACCTTTATGTGCCAATGGGACCGCACATGTAGCCATCTGGGGCTTTTTTTTGAGTTCAGTAGATGCAGCTGAAGACACAGAGTCAATGCTATCCTTAAGGAGTTAAGGATTGAGCTACCAAAAGGGTTTATGGAAAAGAATAAAGATAATTCCCTTTCCATTCTACTCAGATATATTGATTAAAATCTTGTCACAGAATGCTGTTGAGAGGTTTTCCCAAAACAACCTGAACTGATTGAGAAGTATTTCTCTGATGCTGTTGACTGGATGGAGATGTTATTCTCATGGTAATGTGATTTTCTTCCTTTCTTTCTGGGGAGGGGCCAAGAGGGGGGGGGGGGGGTAGGGTGATTGTAGCACATCAAGCAGGCTGGGGTCCGTTGTGGTGATTTCATGCATGCAACTCTTTCTAGCTTAAAGCAAATTGTTCTGTTTCTCACACTGTACTGTTTGTGTCCATGGTAGTTGGGTAGATTGGCGAAATATGCTGCTGCACTTGTTATGGCTTTTAAGCTGGTGATCCACTGATCTAAGTTTCAGGAAAGAGGCCATGCCACAACATGTCAGTCAAGAAAGCTGCTCTTTCCTTTTGTAGCAGCACCAAGGCTACAATGTGTTGTTGGGTCCTGAAATGAACTTCTGAGATCGTGGTATTGATTTTTTGTTTGCTATGATGCTTTGCCAATACTCAAATTGCTGCAAGGCAGAGGCTATATCACTGGCCAACAATGTGTTCCTTGGCTTAAATGCTTTAACAAATCCCTATCTTCAAAGTATTCAAAAGGCTTTCTAATGGATAAGATTCCAGATTTTTCTGACATCTGGAATTGCTCATTTTCTCAAGCTAAAAGGCATTCCAGTCCACTGGAATAAGCATTGAAGATTCATGTACAATGGCCAGTCCTTTGACATTGTTGCTAGTGGGCAGATCAATTTGATGATAATGGCAATCTCTGGTGATGCACTTGGTCAGATTGATTGCCAACAATTAAAGAGAATGGCACTTGCTCTCAAGTTTCCTTTGATGAAAACAGTTAATATAGCTTTGGCCAGTTCAGAGGTAAGTAGGAGCTTGAAGTCATACACCATTTACATGTTTACTCTTCAGGACTTTCATTTTCATTGCCATTTGAACAGCTTGATAATAGGTTTGCTTTTGAGCCCTTTACTCTTAACCTAGCTCTATCTCTAGCCCTGCCCTATGAAAAGAAAAGGATAACCTAGTTCATTCATAACCTACTTTTTTTTTAAGTATCTTCCACTGAAATACATATCTCTAGTTAGACATCTTTGATGATGAGTTCAAGGCAGGGAGGAGCAAAAGCTTGCTGTGTGCCACTTCCTCTCCATGGATTGATAGGTATTTCTGATAAGCAATTTATATTTTCCTCCTCCTTTTGATGTTTCTTGAACATGTTTTCATTAGCCTTGCCAAATAATTTTGTACTGAGTTTTTCCTTTCTCACTTTCTTGCTCTTTAATCATTTCTTCTCTTGTGTGAGCTGATGTGACAAATTTTGGAATGTAATGTAGGTAATTTTTAAGAACTAAGAAATATAGTTAACAATCAAATACCTGTGTAACATGATATGTTGCAATTATGAGGTGATTGTAGCATGTGCAGTATGTTTTCTGAAAACACCAAATTGCTCATGTGCAGTATGTTTTCTAAAACACCAAATTGCTCTGTTTAAGGCAACAGTATCACAGTCCTTGCTGAGAAAATAGCTTCTTATATCACTTTTGTTAATCTGTTTCTTTTCTCCCCCATATTCAGCCATTTATTTTTGAAGTTTTATAGACATGCTGTGCCAAATAGATAAGATATGTTAGAAATGCCTGTAACAACAAAGTACTTTTATAGAGCTTGAATGCTTTCCAAGACCTTGTGCATATGCTGAGATTTTTATAAAAGAAATCTGTGCATAACTATATATTTCCTGTGGAAATCACTCTTTTGCTATAAATGAAGAACGTGCATGCTTTTATTCCTGCACCTTTGACAAGTGAATGATAAGTGGATATTCTTGCTTCAGGCCCAAAATTTAGATCTAGGATAGTGGAGGATATTTCTCTGCAATTTTATGGAGAATAAATGAGTCCCGGCTTAAAATGGTGAAATATAGTAGCATCCATGCTCTTTGTTTGAAAATATTTAATCATTCTGCAGATTGAACTTTGTATCAGTTGGCATGTAATTGTAGTTGGCACTTGGAGGTTGCGGGTTCGAAGGAGCTTATGTGCATAATTTCCTCTTCATCCAGGTAAGTATAAAGATAAGGGGGTTCAAAGATAAATTAGGACTTTAAAAGAAAAAAAGAAAATAATTCATAATTCTAAGCTATTATTTTCTAGTTCCATTTTCCTTTCTTTGAGTTCTTTAAATGCACAATTGTCTCAGTTCATTTCATTTCCATGGCAATTTATCATCAATCAGCAACCCATGCACTAACTGGGTTTATTGCAGGCAGAGATTGGTAATTTACAATTTGCATTGAATAATTCTGATGTTGTTTCCTCAATGTTAGCTTGTTGTGATTCAAAGCTACCTATTGAAGTAGTTGCAAAATTAATATAATTCTTGCGTGAAATGTTTGAAGTTTCCATGACAATCTAAACAAATAGCTAAATGAAGACTTTTCCCTTATTTAATTCTCTTCCTTCAGATACATCACTATCTTATTTTTACAGAAAGTGGTCAAGCCGAACCTAACTCAACTAGGGAGTCAAGACTTTCTAGAGACTAGACATGACAATTATTGACCTTAGGTTGTTGAATAGTTTTATAACCAGGTGTAAAGTTTACAATAAACATAGATGATGATCATATATTCACATATATTTTTGGTACAGGGGAAGTCGCAATCTGGGGATACGAAAAGGGATTGTAGGTGCGAAGATTTAAATCTCAAACCCGCTAAATGTCTCCTCTTAAAGGTAATTGCATGAACTAACTAAGCTAACCTCTGGATTTCATATATTCACATATTAAAAAGGAACATTTTCTTGACTGCATGCCTCTAGCAGCCTGAGCAAAGGATCTAGAAATTGTTGAATTTTATAGGAGTTTTCACATATTAAAAAGGAGCATGTTGTTCTTGACCACTTGCCTTCAGCAGCCTGAGCAAAGGTTCTAGAAATTGTTGAATTTTATAGGAATTTTGTGGTGTTTAATCTCTGTTTTACTCCTCATCAACCCCCTACTTCACGCTGGGAATACAAAAGTGGCATCATCATTATATATAGGAATGCAAAGTCTTTTCCCTTTAATTTGGTTTAACGACAATGGAAGCTGATTTGTAGCTTGATCAACTTTTCCTGGACTGAAAATTCCTTGTATAATAAATAATCCTTGGACTTCAAGTCAAATTACTAGAAATGGTGAGAGGAATTAGTCTAGATCTTTGGTAAATTTTTACAGCTAACCATAAGTAGAAAATGTTTCCTGGAAACAACATTCAGGGATAACAGAGTACAATCCATAAAAATTATATTGAAGCTAAGTTGTGGATAATTATTTTAGACTTGTTAATTTTAAACAATATGGTGACATAATACTACAACAATATAAAGAAATACAAAAACGATAGGTTTAAAATTTTAACAAAAATCATATATAAGTTCAACAAAAATAAAAATATATATTTTATATTTGATGTGTCGATGACAAGATAATTTTTTTATTTTATTCGTGTTAAACGTAAAATAAATAAACATAAATACACAAATTTTAATATCAAACTATTATCCTATGATAGAGGGAAGGAACAAGCAATCTACTTTTTAGAGCAATTGGAAGTCATTTTTCGAACTACGCAGGTAAGGTCACAAAGTATGTTGATTTTGTCTTCTACTGTGGGACATAATCTCTGACCTTAAAAATTGGCCATAAGAGGGATAAGATTTCAAAAGTCTAAGCCCTATAATGCCTGTTATTATATGAGCAAACAAAGACTCCTACTTAATCTAAATTTGAAAAGATTGTGTGAACAAGGCACCAAATATTTCTCTTTTATTATTGTGTTCCTACTCATTCAATGTGCTCATCTACTTAAATAAAAAAAAAAAAAAATCATGTTCTTATACTTTGAAAACAGTTGTTAGAAATATTGCCTTATAAGAGAAATCATCGAAACAAAGATTTAATGCATAAAGATAGACCATTTCTATCCCAAAACTTGAACTTTGGTGTGTGCAAACTCATTTTTTGTACGTAAAGGTCATAATTTGGGATAAAAAAGAGATTGTAGATAATATGATTTAAATTCTAAACTTAGCGGATGTGACTTTTTAACGGTGAATTGTATTAAATCTTAGATTTATGTATGCATATTTGTTGAGAAATAATAAATCTATAACAATTAACTCCATCTGTTATAAAGATTTTTCTTTTGGAGAGACTCGATTGTTAGACTTAATAAAAATTTACAAAGTCGTCATTAATCTTTTTTGTAAGATGTAATTAATCACCAAAAAATATCATCTTTTAATAAAAATCTTTAAAATTAATTAAAATAAGTTTAGGTTTTCGAAATTAGGGTTAGGTTCAGTTATATGGTTACGAAGGAAAGTATTAGTATTCTCACATCACTTGTTCGAAGAATAGTATCAATTAAACATGTGTAATTTTTTAATTTTAATGATATAGTTTTCTTTATATTTAAATTTAATTTCTTAAAATTTATTGAAAAAATATTTCTTTGTTGTGAAATCAATATTGTTATTATTTCATATTCTATAAGTTCTTTAACATTTTAACAGAATTTATAAAAAATCTTTATTTAAAAAATATTTTAGTAAAATTGATCATTTACAAAATTCTCAAAATCTCATCATAAGATATTTTATTTGTTTATTTATTAATACTAATTTTAGGATTATTCCAACTCTTTAACGAAATCCAAAATTTATTAAACAGATTTGAGGATTATCTTGACTTTTTAGTGAAATCATAAAATTTTAAATAGATTTTAAGATCATATTAACTTTTTAATGAGAGCCTAAATAAGATTATTTTTTATTTATGATAATTAAGAGATTTAATCAAATATTTAATTAATTTTTATTGTGATTATTTTAATTTTTTATTATTTACTGTTTATTATTATTTTTTATTATTTAAAAATTTTTAGATTATTCCGATTCACCAGTAAAATCTAAAAATATTAATCTTTTACTTATATTAAAGAAAATCGAATTCTTTTAATTTTCTTTTAAAATTTTTTTTATATTTTTTAAATAAATTTATTCAAAATATCAATTATTATTATTATTATTGTTGTTGTTGTTATTGTTGTTGTTGTTTAAATGAACCCTAAATAATTTTGGATTATTTCAACTTTACGGTGAAATTCGAAAAATTATTTTTTACTTGCAATAATAGAAAACCAAACTCTTTCAGTTTTATTTAAAAATTATATTTAAAATATACATTTAAACAATTTATTATTTTCTTTTTATTTAAGTTATCTTTTTATTTTATTTTTATTTTTTTAGCAAAAATTATTTTTTAAATTATCCCAATATTTCAATGAAATTTAAATAATCTTTTTATATGCAATAAAATTTTATTTTTCTTAAATAATAATAATTATTATTATTAGTTTTTTTTAAGATTTATGCATATTATATTTTTTTAGGTCCATATTTTATTTTAGTTATATTTTTCATTTTATTTATTTATTTATTTATAAAAGAACTATTATTAGTAAGAACATAAAATAAAATAACAGGAACAATAATATCATTAAAAAATAAAAATAACAAATAAAAAACATAAAAATCAACATAAAATAAATAAAATCAAAATCAAAACAAAAAAAAAAAAAGAGAAAACCTGTCAAATGGATAGAATCGACTCACGATTAAGGCGTAGGTCAAGATGCCAAAACAACATCGTTTTAATGCACTTATAAAAGGCTTGCTTTTGTTTTTTGTTTTATGATTTTTTTTCTTTCTCATCTATCTCTACCATCAAAGCCTTTCTATAAAAATTTTTTCCCTTCGTTGACCGTCGTGACAACTCAAATTTTGGCTAGTCGCACTGATGGTCAGAATCTTCAGCGGCACCAAAATATTTAACAAATCCTAGTTTTCAACAAATTTTTTAAATTTTAGCCGTTGGAAACTTCAACGATTATCAAAAAATTTAAAATCTTTTAGATTTTGATAATCTCAAAATTTTTTAAAAAATTTTCAAAAAATTCTTAAAACAATCCTTTTGATTTTCTAAATATTTTCCCAAACCAAAATTAAAAAAAAATAAAAAAATCCTAGACCTCCTAAATCAAGAATTTCACAATTTTTTTTTTTGTTTTGAATTTATTTTTTGGCTTTGCTGTTGGTTCCTCCTCTTGGGGGATTGTGTTATTTTTTATTTTGGTGCTTGTACGTATGCTTTTTTTTTTTAACAGAACCCAGCAATTCTCCGTCTCCTTTCTTTGTTTTTTTTTTGTTGTGTTGACCTCTCTTTTTCTAATAATCTCCCTTGGTTTTTTCTGTGTGTTTTTTTTTTCCTGTTTTGCTTGCAAAGATTGACTCTATTTATAGAGCCATTTGAAAATCAAATCTCAGATTATCTTAGACTTTTATGGGATTATTTGTGGAAAAAATAAAGATTTGTTCGGTGACTTTTAATCATCGAATTTCATGTTGTCAAATTAGTCGATACAAATAAATTTTTGGTGTATTAAGTTTACTGTGATTTTGTGTAGAAGATGAAAAAAAGATATCAGAAAAAATGAAAAAAAATGCCAGAAATAATAATAATAATAATAATAATTGAAATGAGAAAGACCGGACAAATGGTGTCTACACCATCAATCTAGCAAAGCTCTTTAGAACATTGTGGCACTTTATTCTTCGTTGCTTTTCAGGATGCAGGAACCTGCCCTTTTTCAGACTGGAGGCAGTAAAGATATTCAGAATATTGTGTTCTTTGCTAACATTTTCAAGGTTTAATTAGTGGGAGAACTATTCGTGCTTCTAGAACACCATTTTGTTTTACACACACTTTGCCTACTGTAGCTCACGAGTTCAAAGTATTTCATGATTATTTTACTATGAACAACCAAGACTTTAGACATGTCATTAGGCTGACGTATGCCATGGACCTTTGGGTTTTCAGTCTTCCATTGATGTACTCATTTCTCCCTCCGTGTCTGCTGAAATTGCAGTCCTTGAGTCATTGAATTTGAAAAGGGGGCAAGAATTTTGAGGACATTGGGGTTGCATTTAGCTGTAGTCAGTAATTTCAGTGATTGTTAGCGGTCTGAGTGGGAAAACTGGCCGCATCCAAAGACCCAGCTGCCCTAAAACCGTGTGGGCCTTGATCTATTTAACAAGCTGATAACCTTGACAACACTCAGTCACGTGCCAAGTAATTCCATGAACTCAGGAGGAAGTGTGGGATACGGATATATGTTTTTATGATTTTTCTTACATTAAATTTGAGAATCGAAGCATCACACCTGTATGAATAATGAATAGTCAAAATGCCAGACATGAGTACTTTAAGTGATGTGAAAAGACTTTATGATAATATGTTCTCAATTTTCTTAGTTTCTTCGGCTTTTTAGTTCAGATTCCACTAGTTTTTGTTGGTCATTCACGAGGTACATGCACCATTTATTAGGCGTACAAAACTAAAGTTTATCATCAATGTAGAAAGAATATGAAAGCTGCGTGGTGATAAGTCTAAAAGAACATTGTTGTGTCTGTCATGTTCTTAGTTGCATCAATATTTACACCAACTTTCAGGAGATCAATCGAGGCAGCCGTTCAGAGCCTCATGCATTTCCTTACCCTAACCATTTGATCAAGGCTGGCTGCTGCATAGGGTTTAAAGTTTTAAACTCATCAACTGTTGCATTTTATGGAGAACAGATCATCTAGATTCTTCATTCAATGTCGTCCATATCTACATTTCAACCCGAGACTATAATATATATACGTGTTTAAATTGCCTTCTCAGCTGCTTGGTTAAGAGAAAACTAAAGTTTAATAGTAATGCAATCTGCAACATAATCTCAATACCAACCAAGTAGGTAGACGAGAGCCCACAAAAATTGTCAAAAGCTTTTGCTTTTGTTAATTAAAATATCTTTGTCACATTTTGGCGGGATAGATATATTAAAAGCATTTCTCAAGTTTTGTTTCGATTTATACATTCTATAGTGATTTAATACATTTAAGATTTAACTTTCATGATAAATATCATAAAAATTGAACCTTAATTGAAAAAAAAAAATTTTTTTTTTTGCGTTCCTTTAAATTTGAACACTATTTATGTAACAACGACTAATTTAATTAATTGATTACAAAAGAGTAAAATCAAATGCAAAACTAACTTGTTAATTATCTTTAAATCAATTGACATGTCATTAAAGTTATTATTTAAATGTTAAGAGTTCGAGAGAGATTACGTAAGTAATGTTTTTTACAGTCAAGTAAGTAATAGGATAAAAAATTTAAGAGTAAATTAAAAAAAAAAAAAAACAAAGCTGGCGTTGGTGATTTTCTTTTGGCCTAAGGTCCACACGGAAAAGACAACTTTTGAGACAATAGTGGGAGTTGAGGCGGAATCGCCAAGAATATAGCAAATTCTAACTACTTCTCCACCGCAAAGTTGAAAGCTTTTAAATTTTTTTTCTTTTTTTTTTGCCTTTTTTTCCTTTCGATGAGGTGGAAAATTTTTGGTCAATTTGGATTACTACTTAACAATAAAGTAATCAATGATTTCGTTTTTTCGAAAGTGACTAAACATATAATATAACTAATAAGATTAGAGATGTTACAATCCTTTACGGCAACTTAAGACTATCGAAAATTTTCTTTACTTCATGTGCACAACGAGCCAACCGGTTTTTACCAAACTTTTTTCCCTTTTTTCTAGCTGCCCTTACTTTGTCTCACTCACGTGTGCATTTACGTGTGTTTTTATATTAATATAGATTAATTTACATTAGTATAGTTTTTTTATTTTTTAATTTTTTAAATCAAAATTATTAAATTTAAAAATATTATTTTGATTTAAATGAGTTATAAATTTAATTTTGATTTAAAAAATAAAATAAAATATAAGAATTATAATTGTATAAATGAATCTTTACTCGTGTATATATATAATTGGCCAATATACATATAAATTAGAAATATGCATATTTTTTATTAAGTGGTAAGAGATTTTTAGGTTTTATCAAATATATTTTTTTAGATTGAGCTAAGTAAATTTATTTATATAAAACTTAATAAATTCATAAAAATTATTTTTTCACAAAATTTCAATAATTCAAACTCAAACAACAAGAAGAATAACATATTTTTTGTCCCTAAAGCCAATCATCCGTTGGTATTAACCCATATTTATTGGATTTATGTGAAAATTTGTAATAATTAAGTTTTTCTCTCGTGGTAAAAAAAAAAAAAGAAAAAAAAAATCTAGTGTCGTTCTCATTAAGTGGGCAGGTCATATAAGGTGGTTGATAAGGAAGGGGTTAGAAAGATAGCATTGTCCGGGAGGTGGCAGCAAGCCCAATAACTCAGCCAAGGGAACAGCTTTCAACTGATTTATCTAAAGACTAAAATTAGCTACGTGGCCTTTCGGCTAAGGCTGGGCCAAGCAGAAGTAGTTATGTGTGGACCACGAGGCTTTCGGCTTACTATTAATAAGTTTTAAAAATGTTTTTTTTTAAATAATAAAAATGACAAAAAAAAAAAAGAAAATAAATCCATTAAGATAAGATTTGATGTTGTAGTTGTTAATTTTAGTCTAATAATATCTTTGAATTCTATCTGTTTTTTGAATTTTTTTCATATGTATAATTACGTGTTTAAATTTTTTCAAATTTGTAAAATAATTTTCATAAATTTAATTAACGCATATGTCATCCAAAATAATATTTCATTGACTTTCTATCGTATGATTTGAAATTAATGAATGATTCCAAGAAAACGGGAGAGAGACAGAAGAAAACATTTTCTTTCTACAAAACCATTTTACTCCTAAAAGTTAGGCGGTTGATGTAGAATTTTACAAAGAAAATTACAAAACTTTAATTCATTTAGATAATAAATTTTGGGGAGGAGCCATAAGAGAAAGGAGAATATAGGACAGAATACATTTTAGAAAATTTTTTTTAAAAGAAATTCAATATGAAAAAATACATGGAGAGTGTTTTCATTTTTTTTTGGTGTTTTGGTTTAAATTCGTTAAAAAATTATAAAAAATAATATTTTATGAATTTATTTAATTCGATATAAATAAATTTATTTAAATCGACCGAGGATACATTAAACAAAATTCAAAAATTTTTTATTGTTTAAATAAAAAAAATTGATGAGTTTTTTTTCCTCTTATTTCAGGTTTTTTTAGGACTGAATATTTCAAATTATTGATTCAACATTTATTCTAACGAATATTAAAATTTATAATAATTAAAATTGGATTTCAACAGAGTTCGAATTATGGACTTGTATCAATTATATTTTTTAATTTTTCCTTCTCCTTAACTATATTACTATGCTTGTTCTCTCAAATTTCTTTTCCTTTTTTTTTTTCCATATAATCACATGTTTTTGATGTTTTTAAATTAATTTTTCCAAAAATTGGGAAGAAATATGGGTTTGTGTAATATAGATAGAGTACTAAACCTGTTGATCGAAGACTAATATACGTAGACTTACCTATATGAAATTAAAAACTCGAAAATACTTAGTGGTAAATTGTGACTGTGTATTAATAAAAATTTAAAATACTTGCAACGTTTTTGTTTTTTTAATTTGTTATTTTCAGTAATATTTTTTATAAATTAATTATGAATACAATAAAAATTATAATAATAAATAACTGTTACATCCATATAAAAAATCAAAGATCTCTTTATAAAAATTTTATTTACAAAATTTGGTATAGAATTTTTTTTTTTTGAATTTGTTATTACATTTGAAATAAATAAGTCAAGGAAATGACAAATCCGAATAGGTTAAAATTTGATTTGGATGCATCGAGATTTCTCTGTACTTTAATTTTGAAAATATATAGTCGCTATTTAATTTCTATATCTTACTATAACCCAAAGATGATATATATAAGAAAAAAAGTAAAAGTTGTGGGGAAAACCAACAGATCTTTTTTTAGATATTTTATGTTATTAATCGTATGCATATTGATTTTGATATAGTCTTAGTCATTGGCCACGTATGATGGCTACAAAAGCTTTCCTCCCATTCATCCAAAGGTAAATTTTTTCTTGAAAAGGATTACTAGGAAAATAGAAAGGTAGCCGGTGGCTAGGAAGAAAGAGGTTTCAAAGAAGCAGAGTTTTTTTTTTTTTTTTTGTTAAATGCAATAAAGCGAAAAGAAAATGTAAAGTCATATAAACCTAAATAAATAAAGAAATTCTCTCTTTTCTCTTACATATATATGGTGAAAACACAGCAAAAGCAGCCAGACATCAATCTAAAAAGATTTAGAGCAATGATGTCATGTTTCATACCACATGACCTCAGCGTTTGGCTTCATTTCTACTATAAATAATACCCTTTCTAAGCAAAAACCAAACCCAACACTATCTGCCCTTACCCTCTCTCTTTTAATTCCTCTCCTTTGCTTAAAAAAAGGAAAAACCTAAAACTCATATTTAAGATGGAATATAGTGAAGCAACTCCTGCTGCTACTCCTACTACTACTACATCTTCTCCTCGATCTCTTTCTCCTAATTCTTCGAATTCATCGTCTCCTAGTACTCATATTGCTACTCCAACTCCACCGGTTGTTGTTAGCCCTTGTGCTGCTTGCAAGATTTTAAGGAGAAGGTGTAGTGCTGATAAATGTCTCTTGGCACCTTATTTTCCTCCTACTGAACCAGCCAAGTTTACCATTGCTCATCGTGTGTTTGGTGCTAGCAACATAATCAAGTTCTTGCAGGTAGTTTAATTGTTTGGGGTTAATCTTAATCTTGCTCTTGATCTCCCCTGCAAATTGACATTCACTATATTCCTTCGTAGTTATGTCTAGATTACTAGATCAATTTCAGAGAGAGAATGGCTACTTTAGCACTAGTCTGAAACGGTAAAAGGTTGCTCTCGGGTTAATCGTTGACTAATGTACTGGAAAAAAGATATACTAATGAAAAAAGTCATTTAGTGGTTTTCCTTTTTTGGGGTCTATTTTAAAGAACATTGTTAATTGCTTGAGAGAGTATGAGAGCTTTTTATTTTTATAAAAGAGGTTATAGAGTAGGATAGGACAAGGAGTTGCAATGAGATTTGAATGAACGAACGAGCTAAAGAATCCAAGTTCAAAGCTTTTCTATTTTAATCACCTACCTCATGATCTTACCTCTATTTGTTCAAAATTGGATTCAAAACTTATAGAGATATCATTGGTTCATAACATAAACATGTTTAGAGAAATAAAATTAAGTTTATTCTAGAGATCAATATATAACTCTGTATTATTTCTTGTTGTCCAAGTCAAAAGTTCAATAGTGTTGGAATATCCTCTTGCTTTGCCACCAAAACAATTTTTAAGAGTCCTTCTTGGAGGGACTAGTAGCGTAGACTGCAGGCAATGCTAAGAATATGACTAGTCGTCTAAAAACAATACATAGATCTGTGCTTTATTACCAGGAACAGAAATTTGAAAAGCAAGTCATTAGATGAGGTTTGTTTACATAGGTAGGTAGGGATAGTGCCTGTGGAAACGACCCTACTTTCTGCATAAAATGTTGGCACTTCTTCATGCCCTCTCTGACTATGTCAAGAAATGTGCTCACCCAACTTCTCCAGTTTTACCTTGCGTTTTCCATATGGAAATCAGGAAATTGACTGTCCCCATAAAAAAAAAAAAAAGTGCTGCTCAGTACTACTGTTCCCAAATCTAATTTCCTGTAACTTGAATGGAATTAGGTTCTCTTGACTAACGATGGTATTTCACTTTCTCCAGTAGTCATTATTTGACATTAAGGCCTATTCATTTGTTTACTTTTGGCTATAGTTAACAGATTGATTTGATTTATTTGTGGACTTTCCGTTGTAGTCAATATCAGAGATGCTAAAATCAATGGCTGTTCTGAAATTTTGTCAGGACCTTCCAGAGTCTCAAAGGGCTGATGCGGTAAGCAGTATGGTTTATGAGGCTAGTGCAAGAATCCGAGACCCAGTTTATGGGTGTGCAGGGGCAATTTGCCAGCTGCAAAAACTAGTTAATGAGCTCCAAGCACAATTAGCAAAAGCTCAAGCTGAAGTCGTCAACATGCAGTTGCAGCAAGCAAACCTTGTGGCTTTACTTTGCATGGAGATGGCACAGTCTCCACAACCAAATTCCCAGCAATCCGTTGACACTTTCATCAGCAGCCCACAAAGCTATCAGAGCAACCCAAACTTCATGGAAGACAACAACTTAGGGTCACTATGGGAGCCTCTCTGGACATGATTAATGCTCAAATATAAATCACTACAGAGCATAGCTGCTTCCATAAATTAAGTTCCCATGAAACTCTCCTAACTCTAAGCTAATGGCTCCAGAGAAGGAGACGTTGAAGGACATTAAACTAATAAATTTAACTCAGTAATATAGGTTATAATGTAAAAAAATGGCATCAAGCAAGTTTGGGATTCAAATCTTAGTACTTGCAGATCCTTCCTTTAGTTTACAACTACGATTTCCTTTATATAAAATATATATGAAGAAATGCAAGTTTAGGATCTAATCACTTTGTTAAAGCTAAGACGAAGTAGATAGGTCTTTTTCCGCAGAGAAAAATGTGCACTCGAATTTTTCTGAAGTTTATTTCTGTGCTGTTTATTGAAATTTTAACAACTTTTAGGTCACCTGCTATATGTTTACTTAAATTTGATGTTTCATTTGATTACTTGTCAAACTAGCTTTTAACCATCTCTTTCATTAGGTTTATTTTCACAATACCCGCCATACATAAGCGCTTCTGATTTTGCAATCTTAAGTAAACATAAGCTAGTACTTCTTCATTCAAATTAGCTGGGATACTCCCCAAATCAACTTTCTTGTCGATATCACTCCATCACACTTCCAGAAACTTTAGTGAATTATATGTGGATTCATTCTAGTATTTAAGTTTTTTTTTTTTTCCCACATCATTTAATTACTTAATAATTTTTAATAATTTATATAATATTTTACGTAAAAAATTAAAAGTGATTTTTTAATAAGCACATAAATAATACTAAAATCAACTCCAAAATTAAAGATGTCAAGTTCAAATTTGAAACGATATAATCCAAAAATAAAAAAAAAATCTTACATAAGTCAAACCAACATTAGAATATGTACTCACTTCAATATTCTTTTTCGCTTAGATTAATCAAAATTCAAGATTATATATGCTTTTAAATTAATCCTTAGTGCATTTTTCTAAATGATATAGCCATTGGCAGGACTAGTCCTTTTCCAGTACAATGTGCAAAGTGACTAAAATTTAATAGATATTAAAAATCATTTTCCTTTATCATTTTTTTTTCAATTTTATTATCCTAAGTTTGACTAAGTTGATCATTATTTGACCTTTAGGAAGAATTGAGAGTCCATCTCACCTTCACCACCACAATTTTTTTAATTATTAATATATTAATATGTATAAGAAGGATCAACTTTTATTGTGTGAAAATATTTTATATAATTTTCTAATTATTGAAAAGATGAGAGACAAATAAAAAATTAAAAAATATATATTTTGCATTCCAAGAAATGGAATTGTCATGATCCATGTGCCGTTGCGCTCTTCAATGCATATTGTTCCAAATATTTTGACTATTCTTTGATTAATATATCCCATTAATAACAATACGTTGTTGGTTCAATCTATTAATGTCATTTTTTTTAATTAAAATATTTTAAATTTAAATTTTATCAATGATTATTTGTCGAAGTTATATCAAATATACAATCTACAATTATCTGTTTTAAATTATCAGATACGACATATCTTATCATGATTTGAAAAATTGAATAATTTATCTATCTCACATTTTTTCTTACCAATATATATATATATATATATATATCCCATTAATGATAAAAAAGATAGATGAGGTAAAAGGAATGTACAAATTAATCCTCCTTTCTTTTAACCTAAAAACATAAAATTAAATTACATAATATAAGATAGCCTCATTTTATTTCATAAATTACATTAAATTTTAATTCGAGATCTTTAAATTAAATTCATAAATTTTAACCGCCAATACATAATATTATTTTGAGCCGTTGTGGGTACATATCTATGTTCAAACAATAAATAATATTCGAGCCATTAGGATTAAGTTAACAAAAGTCAAATTTTATAAATGAATAGAATATTAACATAGATCCAAATTTTTATAAAATATTAATGTATAGTGTGGACTTTGTGGTAATTACACTAGGCTAAGTATACTTTAGTCCAAGAAACAATAAAAACTAATTCCTCTAGTTTTGGTATCTTCCCTAATAATAAGTTTGTTTTCTTCAACTAGCTATAAAAAAAGGACTAGAAGATTTATGTACGGCCAGTAAATATATAGTTTCAAAAACGGTAAAACATTCAACAAATTTAAAATTTAAATTATAACATTTACAATTCATTTTTCTATTTTTAAACTGTAATATTTTTTTATAAAAAACATTAATTTACGTTAATTGATAACGAGCAATCATGATTAGATGTCTTTAATCTCAAACATTTTAACATTCATGTAGAAAAGGTACACTTGGAAGAGAGATTAACTCGTGTTTTGAATAATGGTCTTTTACAATGTTCGATCTTTGATTAACTTTTGTTTGAAAATTAATGATTTGATTTCGAGGGTTTTTTTTTTTTTTTTTTCTCTCAAACGCGGTTTTGGAAGGGCAATTCAAATCACATGCTTCCCCTACACGTGAATTGACGTTGAGCAAGGCTACAACACATCTGTCATTTGTCGGTAACAAAGTTTATGAGAGAAAAAAACAATTTTTTTTGAAGAGGCACAAATTCTTCATCCTTTACTCAACAGGCCATTATTTTCAATGTTTGGAACCGGAAACATATTGTGTTCCTTTTGACTAAAAAGTGCGTTTCAAAAAAGTCAAAGCTAATCCAATGAAACCAACAGTTCCCATGTACTACAAATATTATGACAATAACTCTTCATTGTTGTCATTGTATGCCCATTGAATTGCAACAATTAAACCTTATTGTCGGTGTCAAACTCTGACTTGAGGATAATTTTGAAAAAAGAATGGTTAGAGGTAAAGGTAGAGGATGTTTCTTGAGTTTGCATTTTGATATACAAATTAGTAAAAATTAGGTCGACAAAAAAAAAAAGGAAAGAGAGAGAAATAAGTCTGACACTTTTGAAATTTATGGTGATGTTATAGCTTACAGTATCTGCTTGAAAGCTTATATTTATTCTATTAGAGCTTATAATTTTTTCATGGTCAGTCCTATTTATGGTTGAGCTGGACGGATAGAATGTTGGTTAAGGTGAGTTTTTGTTCTAGCCGAGTAGCTACCTCTTTTTCCTCTTAGGTTCTTTTTTATTTTTTTATGGCATTGTTTTTTATTTGGCTAATATGAGATGTCCCCTACTTGGCGCACCAAATATTGGTGCCGAGCTCCAACTTAAAGGTAATCCTGTGAATGCATAAAAGAAGAGTGGTTAAAGGTAAAAGTAATGGGTGTTTCCTGCGTTTACAATCAGATACACAAGTCAGTAAAGATCAGGTTGGCAAGAAAGAAAGTAGGAATGAGAGGAAGAAAGAAGTAAGTAGGATGAACTTGCCTTCATGATGTCTGAGTCTTCATATTTATAAGTAAGCTGTGAGGGACTATAAGAGAACAATTAGGATAAGGTCGAGTTGAGGTGGCACTAACCATATCAGGTCAACCTGACATATCAAGTCATCACAAATGTCAAAGATACCCTTAATTATCTGTTGAAGGCTTTGAGAGAAAAAAAAAATCACTATATCCTTCTAACCATTAAATACCCCTAAAACTTAGAAGAATACAAAAGGAACAAACACAATGGAATGATGGATCTCTTATACTTGTAAGATAGATCTTGTTAGACCATTTTCAAAAAAAGCATGTGCTTCAAATAGTCATAAGTGAAGAAAAAAAGTTTTAATCTACAAAGTACAACCAATTAGATGCTTCTATTAAAATTCGGAGTCATAATTGACCTAAAAATTTAGTTTTGGGTCAATTTTTTTACAAATGAGATTGTAATATGAGAATAAGGAAAAGAAATTAAACTTGATAAATCTATAAATCAATTAAATTAAATTTAAAATTCAAAATTCAATTTTGGATCAACATTGATACTAAGTTAAAAGTGTAGAACTAATGGGCGATGTTGAACTTGGCTCCCGCTCAACTCTTCAACGATCAAATTTGTGGTGAGAATAGAATGTTAATTTTATACAATAAAAAATTGAGAATTTATTTTCATTTTTTAATAAAATTCAAGTATATTTGGATATTATTTCTTAAAAAAAGTAAAATAAAAACTCTTTATAAAAGTTGGTTTGGAAATTACTCTAATGCCCATATCCATATTGCCAAAACAAATACCATATGCACTTTCCGATAATCACGTAATGTAATTTCGAGATTAATTATAGGATTATTCGTGCAAAATTAAGGGGCAATTGACCACTGCATCAAACCAGCGGTGGTCCAAAGTTGTAGGTAAAATCTTCTTCTTGTTGTCGGTAATGAGCCATTAGATAGTTCAATGGGATAATGCCACCTGTATTTCTGTGACATTTGATGAAGTCAAATTTTTCTAAATTCTTGGTGAACCGCCCATCCGCAGCATGTAGCTAGCTAGCCTTGCTATATTCAAGAAATTATTGGGTAGTTATGGGCATAAGAAAGATTAAGGATTTGTATATTTGTTTCATATAAATATTAAAATTTATATATTTATGTTATATTTTATATAAAATTTATGTTATCATAATTCATATTAATATGAAAATCTAAAATTTAATTTTTTATTTTATTAAATTTATATATAATTATTATTATAATTTTAAATCATATCATATTTATATTTTTTTATATTATATTTATATCATATCATTATATTATATTTTGAATGATCAAATCTAGTATGAGCCTTAGTTACTGGCTATTCGAGGAATTTAAAAGTGCCTACCAAAAGCAGCATTTGTCGGCAGTAAAGTCTTTAAGGCTATTCTCTAAATTGGCTCCAATCTATAGGTTGAAAGAAACCTTCATGTAGGCATTATATTATATTTTGAAAGGCAATATAGCTAATTTTCATGAGTTTGGGCGAGTATTTATTAATATTTGATTCAAGACACGTAATTGATTAAAAATTTGGAATTTAGAGTATAAATCAATAAATGCCTCTCTATTAATTTATTTCAGATTAACTTTACAATAATTAAAAAAGCTTTTATGAAAATTGAAACTTAATTTAATTAATTTACATAATTATATTTTGTTAAAAAAATATTTTAAAAGAATAATTTAACAAATTTAGGATTTAACCTCAAATTACAACTGTAAAACCATAATTTTAACAAATTAATCAATGGAATGTTCCCTTTTCCATTGAAAGAAAATATATATAACGGGGAAAAATGTATGTTTAGTACATTACAGGGGTTTAGATTTTTAGTGACGTTTTTTTTAACGTTTAACGGCGTTTATAAGCGTCACTAAAATATTTGTGACGTTTACAAAAAATGTCACTCAGAGCACCGATTATACACACGTCACGAAAAATAG